CCTCCTCTCTCTCTCTCTCTTTCTCTCCCTCCCTCCTCCTCCTCCGCCCAGTTCCTCCCGACGGCAGCAGCCTCTCTCTCTCCTCTCCTCTCTCCTTGTCTCTCGCTCTCTCTCTCTCTCTCTCTCTCTCTGGCTCGGTTCCCGTGGCGCGCGCTCGCCCGTGTTCCCGTTCTCTCGCTCCATCCGCCCCCGCCCCCGTGGCATGCCAACCAACGAGCCGGGGCCGCTTTCGCTTTGTGCGCGCCGGGGCGGCGGTACATCAAAGCCTTCTAGTTCCCGCTCCGGCCTTTGACGGCTGCGTCGCGGCCGCTCGCTCAGTCATCGCTCGGTAGGCGAAGCCGGCACGCCGTGGATGAACGGTCGCGCGCGCGCCAACGCTCGCCGAATCCGTGGGATTCGGTGGCCGCTGGCAGGGATTCGCCGGGAATTTGCGAGTCGTGGACGATGTCGCCCCGTGGCAGCAAGTGCGCGACGCGGCAGAGGCCGACAGGGAAAGGAAGGCGCGGGCCTAATCATCATCATCATCGTGAGAATCAGCGTGATCAGCAGCAGAGGAGACGGGCGGAGGAGGAGGGCGACAGGGAGAAGAAGAGGAGCGCCGTCGAATCGGTTGTCGAAGGAGGTGGCAGTTGCTCGACGACGACGACGACGACGACGACGACGACGACGAGAACGAGTAAGTCTGCGGTGGCAGCGTGCGAGGGTCGATCGTCGTGGGCGGGGCGCATGCGCCAGCCCCTGGAGAGCGGCCTCGAGCCCCGTGAAAACGGCACCCTGATGCAACAACGATGGCCGACAAGCAGCAGCAGCAGGCAACGCCGCCGCGATCGGGTCGACCTTTCCTCGCCTGCCCTTTCCTCCTCCACGGACGAAGCATCCGGAAGATCGACCTCGCCACCGTCGAACGCCTCCTCGCCTGCACGCTCCACCTCGTCGACATCTACCGGCGCGATCTCGCGGGGGAAGGAGGAGAAGGATCGAAGGGAGGAGAAGGAGGAGGAGGAGGAGGAGAAGGGTACGGAGGTGGCTCGTGAGGACAGGATCAGGAAGAGGAAACAGGAGAGGCAGTGCCCCGCGAGAGGACGGGATGTCGTCGTCGTGGTCTCGGAGAAGTCGGCGTCCGCTTCCAACTGTGCTCCTGCCATCTCCCCCCCCCTTCTCCTCCTCCACGAGCCCCGACAAGGCGAGCCCCGAACAGGCCAATCCAAAGGGTTGCCCGACCGTCTCCCACTCGTCCGTTCTCGAGAGCCTGAGGAACGCTCTGGAAAGCTACGACCGCAGCAGAATCTACCTCGCACATGTGTCCTTCCTGGATTGGCGGGACCTGCCCGGACGACGCCGCCGCGCCGCGGCAGCTGGTGGCGACGCTGAGAGGGTGTGGGTGGTGGGGGCCGCGGATCACGAGGGCCACCACAGGACGCGGCTGCTGGTAACGGGCCGCCATTGGCGGCCACGTTGCCTGAGACGGGTGAACATGCTCAGCCAGCCGGTGATCTACGCCGGCGGCGGCAGGGGTTCCCTGACCGTGGACCTGTTCCTCTGGTGGTTCCACCGGGAATTCGCGGTCACGGCGATGGCCATGCATCCCGACGGCGCCGTGTTGGTCGCGGAGACCGCCGATTACCTGCCACCCGAGGCCGACTGCGTGGCCGCTGACGGATTGGTCCGTTTGTTCGTCGTGCCGAAGGATTGCCTCGAGACGAGGATCGTGGTGAGGGAGTTGAGGGTGAGGCTCGCCACCTGCGTCCTCTCCAGAGCCTGTTACGGCGTCTATCGCAACGTCTCCAACCACCCCGGAAAGGAGGCGACCACCACCGACCCTCTCGCCGCCTATCTCAGAAGATTCACGTTGAAGGAGGCGTTCGCCGATCTTCACCGAGCCTGGCTGAGCGTCAGATCGGAAACGTTCGCGAGAAGTTGGGTCCTGCCGCGGCGGAACGCGACGAAGGCCGCTCGAAGGGCAGCCTGTTGGCAGCCGGCGGCCTCGTGGCCTTCTCGTCCCGCGTCCACGCGGGCTCGAGCGAGGCGCAAGAGGAGGACAGGATGCTTTTGATCGAGCTGCAGAACGTGGCGAGGGAGGCCGGTGTTCGGGTCAGCGACGAGGAGTTGAGCGAGTGGATCCTCGAGGACGAGGGCTGCTCTAACGATTCCTCCTCCTCCTCCTCCTCATCCTCATCCTCGTCGTCGTCATCGTCGTCGTCGTCGTCGTCGTCGTCGTCGTCGTCGTGCACCGTTGGAAGAAGGAAGGAGCATCAGGAGGATCATCGTTGCCGCGTGAAGATCGAGGCGGAGGAGAAGTGGGCCGATTACGAGGGGAAGCAACACGGGGCGACGGACGGGGAGGAGGAGGACGAGGGGAGGAAGGAGGGGGAGGAGGAGGACGAGCCCACCGCGGAAGAGACTGTCGGTCTGCTGTCGAGGGTGCTGACTTGGATGGAAAGGGAGCCTCTCGATCCGGGACTGTTACTCGCTGTCAGATCGATGCGCGATACCGCCGCACTCATGGTAAGCACCGACAACTGATAAGAGACAACCACTCGAGGTATCGATCCCCGCCGTCGGTGGGATAGAGAGAGAGAGCTCGTGCGCCGCGACCTTGCGAGCCTCCGTGGCCAGATTGAACTAATTCTCTTCCGGCCGCGGATGGAAAGTAGGAGCTTGGTTGAAAGAGGAAGGGACAAGGGGGAGGGAGAGAGTGAGAAAGAGAGGAGGGATAAGAAGGGACGCGACGAGTCGCGCGAGAGGACGGTGAAGAGCCACTTGAATTCGGCGATACGTCGCTCGAGCCGACGAATGGAAAAGCCGAACGAGAACGAACCCTCGAACGTTCGAGGAGCGCGCGCCGCCGTCTTTGCAAATTAATGCTCGAGCTCGATAAGCGCGCTTTCCCCCCTTCGAGTAGTTTATTGAATTGTATATTATATTTCCTTCTCGACGAGGAGAGAGAGAGAGAGAGAGAGAGAGAGCGGAAGGCTTTTTACTCGTCCTCGTTCGTCCTCCTTGTTAGATTGACGGAGACCCGTGCAACGGGACGAACAGGGATGCTAATGTCTATGTTAAATAGGGAGGAACGGAAATGGTACTCGACGGGGGCCGATCAAAGAATCGGATACTACCTTTGTTCGATCGTTAAAACAGCCTGTTGGTGGTGGTGGTGGTGGTGGTGGTGTAGGGCACCGATAAATGGGATGGTTTCTCGATGCCTGGCCTGTTGTCGTTGATCAAAAGGATAACTATAGTCGCCACTCGATCAATCGGGTTGTATTTCTTTGCTTCCGTGAAGGGGGCCAATTTATTATTTATTATTTGTTATTTAATTTATTATTTAACTGAATCGAACGCTCCTCTCCTCTTCGATGAAACACCTGATGATATCTTTCGATTCAATTCGATTAAACGAAGGAGACGTTCGAACAAACGGACGTTCTGATCGTCGACACGGGGGGGGGAGGGGGGCGATGAGAAGAAAAATCAATTTACATATATCGTCTCACGCAAACACCTGTCGATGCTTCCGGGGATGCATCAATTAATTAATTGATATCCCCGGGCGGACTGCTAATTACCTGGCTGCATTAACGAAGCATTAATCAACACGGCATTAATTAATTACTCGATAACGATAATGCAACGCTGACACGCGAGGCTATATACGCGCGCCCTATCGTGTCCATATACCGCGTCGAAAACGGCGCAGGATATATTATTATTATTATTATTATTATTATATCTATATCTTGTTACGCGATTTCGCAACGTGTCTCGTATTAACCGTTTTCCATCTCTCTCTCTGTTTGATTTATAGGCGAGCAAGATGGGCCTGGCGGGGACCCATCCGAGCGGTTTGCCCTTCTTTTGCCCCAACGGGGACCACCTGACTCAGCCACCGCCTGCTCATATGGGAATTCCACCGTACGGGACGCTGGATGCGGGTAAAGCAGCCGCAGCGGCAGGTGAGTACCAAATATCGGCTTTGAACGAAGCTTCGACGGATTCGACGGAAGGATCGAAATGTTGGAAAGGATCTTTTTATCGAGAAGCGATTAATGTACAATTAATTATGAATTTTTAAATATCTATTTAAATACTGGTTTTAGCGTTAAATAATCCGATTTCAATAAGTCATGTGGTTGTAAAGGATGGGTATGAATATTGATGTTGCAAATTATAAATCTGAGAGAAAAATCGAAAAAGTTATTTTACATTTATTTTTAATACTATTACTGTTGAAACAATAACGATTCCCTTTCGATAAACGATTTGAAGAATTTGTGATTGTATACGATACTGAATCGTACGAGATTAATAAATTTGAAAAATGTATTAATCAAATTATTGTATCTGTATATTGTTTAAATATCAAGCGAGAGTTGATTGTGCATCGTGCACAATCGGTAACTTTTCCGTTTCTCGATCTTGAAACTGGCCTTTAATTTTCCGCAAAATATACACAACAGGAGGATCCATCCTGTGCTATCGGTTAAATCAATAATTCTTTTACGAAGTTAAACCGCTAGTGTCGGCACAAATATTGACAATTCTCTCAAATTGTAATTGATGGAATACTTCTCTCGTCCCTGTAATAGAGCAACGCAACGATTCGCGGCAACACTTCGCGTATTATTTCACTGTATCGATCCATGCAAATATTAACATCATCCCTGTGATATGCGAACAGTATAAACAGGTTTTCTCTGTGGCTCTCGATCGACAATAATCAAGGGAATGATTCAATCCCTCGATCCTTCATTCTATTTTCTCGAGAATGGAATTACTCGAATATAAGAAAAAAAAAAAAAAAAGAAAAGAAAATTCAATTTCTATTAAACACTGAAATATAATAACGAATCATTGTTCGTGGTTAAAAAAGACAATCATCATAAATATAAAATGATAAATTTCTTTCTTTCGCTCACGTATCGCTGAACCCCATTGTCTTTGTTCAACAATAAAAATTTGTCAAAGGAGCATGACTCCGTGTAACGATCCCAATTATAATTTAACGAAAAACAAAACCTAAGAATTCCTAGGAGATAAAGAAAAATTTCTCTCGAAAGCGATATCTTTATGAAAAAAAAAAAAAAAGGTAACTCGTTAGGTCGGATCAAATGTCGTGCAACAATCCCGATTGTAATTTAAAACTAAGAAATAAAACTTAAACATAATTTCTAAAAGAAAGAAAAATTTCTCTCTCGCGTCATCCTTGACAGCCTCTTCAATAACAAAATAAAAACGTCTAAAAAAGGGTTAAACGCCCTTCTCTCACTCGAGAAAAAAAAAAAAAGGAAAACAACGATCGTCCATCGGATGAAAACAATCGAAATGTTTCGAGAAAAGAAAGAATTTTTCTTTCTCCCTGTCTCTCTCTCTTTTTCTCTCTCTCGAAAGAGAGAGTTCGCTTCGTAGTTAGCTCAGTGTCCTTTGCACTCGAGGCAAATTAAAACTCGCCTCTGTCTCCGCGTGGCCGATTGTTGGCAGCCGTGCAAACATTGATATTCCTACGGGGTCCTCTAATTGAAGGAATATTTCTTATCGAGTCAAGGGTTCGATGTCGAGGCTCGAACGCTGAGGGAGATACAGAGAAGAGGGAAGTCCGGGCGTCCCCAGAGGATAGAGCGAGGGTAACAAAGAGGGAACGTGAGAGAGCGAGAGAGATTGATGCGGAAGTGGTGGTGGGATAAGAGAGAGAAGAGAGGCTCGCGAACTGGCGTCAAGTAGGAGAATAAGAGGAGGACTCACCATTAGGCTAATCAGCCAGGCATGCAGCCTCCCTCTGGCGGGTCAAGGGGGTTTCAACCCGCCTCTCTATTTCTACAGCTTCTCTTCTTCCTACCCTCGTTGCACCCGCCCCCGAGACCGCCTCCCCTGCCTCTTTGGGGAAACCCTCGCCATCAACTCGCCAGCCAATGTGGATTAACAGCCGATGACCGATGTATTTTGTCGACGTGGCGATGCTTTTCAGCTAGGATGCTTCTTTGTTCCACTTTTTTTTTTCTTTTTTTTTTTTTTTTATGTACGAATGTGTGAATGAAGCAAGAACACACATATTACACGGGTGATGGTTACGCGATTTCTCTTTGAATGGTGACACGGATTTTTCTTCTTCTTCTTCTTCTTCTTTTTAGGAAGAGTACCCGGGACCAGGTCGAGTGCGAGGGAATCGGTTTTGAAGCGGTTCGTGGTTTCGCATTAATCTCGTTGAGAATCTCTTGATATTTTTAGTCGAGTAGAAATTTCCCCCCCACGTATTTTTTGCGTCAGAAGCATCAATTTCGACAACGCTCCTTCGATTACGCTCCATTATTATTATTATTATTATTATTATTATTATTATTATTATTATTATTATTATTATTATTATTATTCTTGTAAAATTGTTTCTCCGAGAAAGAGAACGAGTTTAAATTCATCATCTCTTGCTCTCCGTTGGATGATAGGTTAGGTTCCACGCGGTAGATAGAAGAAGAAGAAGAAGAAGAAGAAGAAATTCGAGGGAAATACACCAGGGTATAAACCGAGGTGGAGATTCTGGACGTGTTTGCGCGCGCGCTATCTTTCTCTCCTCTCCTTCTGCCTCGGGCCTACCTCGGCCTCGCCACCCTCCTCTTGCTCACCCACGTCCCTGGAATATGTAGATGGGGTTGATAGCGTTTATGCACGACTACGAGTTCGTACGGCTCGGGTTCTTTGTCTTGCAAACGAGCGAGCATTTTGTCCCTCTTCCCCCTTCTCTAACCCCCCTCCTTCCTTCCCTCGAGCTCGCTCTCTCGGTTTCTTCTGCTCTCGCGCTATCGAGAACGAGTGAGAGAGTGAGAGAGAGAGAGAGAGAGAAAGAAAGGGAGTGTTCTCTGTCCCCCTTATAGAGGGTTCTCGGCTCTGTTCAGCCGCCACCCACTCACTCACCCGCTCTCTCGTGCCACGTAGCACCCGGCCGAGAGCACTGCCGCCACCTCTCTCGTTCAACCGACCCCTCTTCTTCCTCTTCCTCCACCGCGCGCGCCTCTTCATCTCCTCCTCGTTTCTCTTCCCTCCCCTCTGTCTTCCTTTCCTCCTCGCTCTTGGTGCGTTGCCCAATAATCTGCCCTCGTCCTCGATGCGTTTCTCACTCCCAAGCCCATCCACCTCTCCTCTCCTCTCCTCTCCTCTTCCACGAGATTCGAGAGTTTCCAACGTTCGAAACCCCGTCCCCTTCCGCGAAGCCACCCCCTTCTAGCGCTAGCGCCACCACGGCTCTTTCTTCCTCGCTCGCGATTCTCGCTTCCAGGAATATATTTCTAATTAGCTCCACTTTTCGATCTCCGCCGCGTGTTTATTTCAGGATTTTTCTATGGAACAGAGGAGTGTCGAGGGGATGGGGTTCGAGGAGAGGAGGGTCGAGAGGATCTCCCGGCGTTTTTTTTTTTTTTCTTTCGCCGGGGCTCCACCATTGATCCGCTTAATTTTTCTCTCCTCCTAGCGCCACCCACGCCGACGGCGATCTCTCACTCACTCTCTCTCTCTCTCTCTCTCTCTTTCTCTCTCTCTCTATTCCACTTTGGCCTTTCTTTGTCTTTGTCTCTCGGCCTTTCCGCCGTTTCTCGCTTCCGTCGCGATTATGAGCTGCTCTACCCAATTTTTCTGCCCTCCCCCTTCCCCCTCTCCCCCTTTTCTTTGTCACGTTCGTACGGTATTTTTATCCGCCGAGTTATATTTCGATTGTGGACGGAATGTTTCCGTTGTTACCGGCGGAGGGAGCCCCGATGGTTCATTGATTCCTTTGCTTTGAGCTTTAAACGGTTTTGTAAATTAACCTTTTCGCACTCGATGTTGATGGCCTGTACACGATACAGCTCTTTAATGATGGTGGAGGGTATATTTCCATTCGATGAAACAAGATAGGTTAAATTTTGGTAATTACATTTTCTATCCAAGAATATTGTAAAAAGTGTGTTTCTATATTATTAATAATTGGTAAAACAGAATTGTTTTCATAACCTCTAAAAAATTTGATCTTGAAATGATTAATTTAATTTGGTCTCCAAATTTTGTTGTTCTATTTTTATTTTGCTCCTTTATTTAACCTTTCATCCTAAACAGTTCTGTACAGTTTCAATATCTTTTATTGCACTGATAAAAATAGACTTTCTCTCTATCATTTTCTTACCAATTCATATACGAGGCAAATAATACAAATTTCTTACACGTGTTCTCAAACACCATAAACAGTTACGATACGAATATGTAACGATCGAAATGGTATACTTCTAATTCACAAAAGGGGTACAGCCTTTCCACCCCAACCAATTTGCACCCCATTCAACGGTGCACAGAAATGACCTAACCGAACATTGGTGGATCTTCATTGAAAGTAAATCAAACCAGTCGATTAATGAACATAATAGAACGTCAAACAAGGCGGGGAGTATCACCCCTGTGCCATCCTCGCTCGCGCGCGCAAAGCCACTCGGCCTCTTTAACCGTCGGCTGCGATTCTTCGAGCACTGTAATCCTTCACGAGTAGGTTCTCCAGTTTTCTCACCGCTTCGAGCGGTCACTTTGACATCTTTGTCGGGGTTTCCACGCGTGCGTCGCGGCCTCGCGCCACCGTAAATACACTTTTCCTCTCGTTCGAGTGTTAAAATACCACTTGAACGTATCCTCCTCGCGAGCAGATCTCGAGTGCCACAAGCCTCGAGTGCGAGCGCCACCGATAGTCCTTCTTTTCGCGAAAGAATTATTCTTTCGGCAACCCCCACTCACGAGGGAGAGATACCGAGTGCCCTTCGGATTATGATAGTTTTCCTCCTAACGATCCCGTTGTAACGAATTAGCACGGTTACAATCGTCTTTTTCTTCTCCGTTGTTGTCTTCTCCGTTTTTAAGAATACTCGATACGTTATTCGCGTTCACAAAAATATCCAGCTTCGTTGAATACGAAGATATGAAAAAATCGTTCTCTCATATTTGATTAAAAATGAATTGAAAAAATTTATTACGAATTATCAAGTATCGAAATCTGTTAATCCATCAAAGCAAAGAAACTATTCGTCTTAACGATGTTTCGATTAAATAATCTATCCACCAGAGCCTAACCCTCCCTCTCCACATCATCGGATCCCTTTGTCGATCTCGCTCGAGGAGAGCCATATTTCCTCCCCTCGTAGCGACATTCCTCCCCTCGTGTAACTATGACCGGGGTAAATGTTAACGATACCCTTTAACAGGGCGAAACTGGACTGGATCTCTTCCTCCCGAAGGGAAGAGGAAGTAAGGAGGGGAGAGAAAAAAAAAGAAAACAGACTTCGAACGGCATCGAAGTCGCCGACGATCGAAGGCGCAGAGAGAGAGAGAGAGAGAGAGAGAGAGAGAGAGAGAGAGAGAGAGAGAGAGAGAAG